TGTTTTAGATTTTTCTTCTTATAATTTCTTTATCTACCTATCTATCTATTTCGAATCGATCAAATGGATATAATTAATTCAAAAGTGTTTCTTCTGATGAAGACTAGTAAATTCACATCATGCTATACTCAACCAAAAAGACATTGATTATTTCCAGTTAAAATATCTGACTACTTTTTAATTAATTAAGTAGTCAAAAATTATGGTATGAAAATGAACAGTTCTTTCTTGCCTTTTGTGTTGTATTTTTGAATTTCGTTGTCTTTAAACAACTTTGTTCACAGTGGTCTTAGCCATTCAATCTCCTTTCAATAAAGTCTTATCTTGTGATTGGCAGAAGAATCTTTGAGTAGTATATAGAATATATATATATATATGTAGGGGGGTTGCATGGGGTAGAACGGGAAACAAATGAGTAAAATCTGCTGTCTAGTAACTATTCTAAACTACTTTCTGACTGATCGACACTTCTATTTTCCGTGTTACAATTCAAGTTTGAAGCAAATCGAATTGAAAAAAAGGAAATCTACCAAAAAATCTACATTAAATATTTTTTTTGGTCTATTAATTATAACTTTCTATTCTGTTTGTGTTTGAGTAATAATTCTCTATTAATTTGTTGAAAATTGAATTATGTTCAAGCGTCAATTGTAATAATTTGAACGGAGAGAAAACGCGCCCATTTTTATGTTGACTGACAGTAAACTAATTATCAATTAATTTTTTTATTTAACCACACCATGTCAACTATTTCTCTTCTCATTTATATAAGAAAGAGTGAGAAATTAAAAAAAATTGTTTTTCTTTTTTTGGAGTTCAATTGAAAAATCTTACATGTAACAGGCATGTTTATGAAGTTGTTTTTTGTTATACATTAAAGGTTTTGATTTTATGAAATATGATTGAGAAGTAAGTAACCATTGACTATGAGTTGAAGATTTTATCAACTAGCCAACTTAGATTAGAGTGTTCTAAAAAGGCTGGATAGATACCGCACCACCACCAACAACAACAAACTCCAATCACCATCGACGGGAGAAACTTAAAGGAAGTAACCTCCTTCACTTATCTAGGAAGCACTGTTTCAACTACAGGCGGGACGGACGAGGACGTCAAAGTCAGAATCGGAAAAGCAAGACAGGTGTTCATTAGCCTGAAACCAGTGTGGAGATCTTCTGCACTCAGCATGCGGAACAAGATACGGATTTTCAACACCAACCCAGTCAAGTCAGTGCTTCTGTATGGTTCAGAGACTTGGCGCGTTACGAAAGGGATTTCCAATAAACTACAGACATTCATCAACAACTGCTTACGCTGTCTCGCTTCTGAAGACCAAATGGCCAGAATAATAAGAATAAGCAAGAAGGAGCTCTGGGAACGAACCAACCAAGAACCTATCGCTCAACAAATATGCAGCAGAAGGAAGTGGAGATGGATTGGGTTGGGCATACACTGAGAAGACTGACTGGGGACATCACGCGTCAGGCCAGGCCAGTCTCTCGAGTGGAATCCCCATGGGAAGCGACGAGTTGGGCGTCCGGGATGAGGGTGACATGGAGGAGATCGTGCGAGGAGGAAATGAGAGCTTGTGGGCTGTCGTGGAACCAGGTCCAAAAGATCTCAGAGAAGAGAGTTCACTGGAGACGTGCTACTGAAGCCCTATATTCGACTAGGAACCCAAGGGACTAATAATATAATATAATAATAAAAAGGCTGGATAGCAGTTTCAATAGATTATGATTGAGCCAACTCGTCAGTTGTACACTTGAACAAATTTAGCATGTACAACCGAATCAGTTTATATCATTTGAACTGAATCTGATTGGTTAGCTGACTTCTATAAACTAGTATACCTAAAAGAGAGTGATTAATTGACATTTCCTATAGCTGAGTGGTTTTTGTAATTGCCCAATTTGACCTTAGACAAGTGTAAACTGTTGTTTGGTGTTTAGATCACTCTGTATTCTACAGATCAGCCTGACTACTCAATTTATTCAGTAGTCGTATATTTCACTAGTTCATGACATATGTTACGGATCATGCTTTGTAACCTTGGCTGATTGGATGTCTAAGTGGTTGGTTTCAAAACAATAACATTGTTGGTACGTCACTGTGAACCTTACAATTTACAATTACATCATCCTATTTTAATTTTACCTTATGTATATATTAAACTGGTCAAATGGAAGTAAGTTAGGTAAAACAATGAATTACTATATTTTGTAGAGAGGAATGAAAGAGTAGCTGCCAACTGTATGAAAACTTCCAAGGTTTAAGATGTCATGAAATTGGACTTCCATTCATAAATGACATCTCTGTACATAATACTCGATGACAGGAAATGTATATATTCTTGGTTGTATTGTGTTCTCTGAGTAGCTGCGTTGTGTAATAGTGAAGCTTTCATCGACCTCCCAGACAGTGACATCATCAACACCAATTTCACTATGAAGTGAGTTGTCAGTATCTCTCTGTGAGTGATTTAGTAGCTTACCCTGACCAACTGGTTCGTGACTGGTTATTTCCTTTGATTGTTGTGTCATTGACTGATTGAATAGATTTTCCTCTTGGCAGTACAACAACTTCACGGAGAAAAGAAGAAAATTACTTGATGTCCATCTTAAAAAAGAACGGTTGACCACGAGACTTTATGAGAAACTGCCTATCCCGTACATCATCGACTAAAAAGTCATCGACAGAAATCAATAAACGCATCATCCCACCATACATAAAGAAGATGTATCAGAAATCATGACAAGATTACTCATACCACTTGGTGGGATTGGTGTGGCTCATAAACCAACAAATTCCCTCCAAACACTACTATGCAGACCAAAGGATGCAACAAGCAAAGAAGACAAACAGAATATCATCTACTAAATCAACTGCAATAACTAACTGTAGTCAACACTACATTGGACAGAGAGTGGTCACCCTCTTCGCCTTCATCTACATGAACACCAACTGGTTATTAAACGTCACACATGACATTTCATCACTCATTTCAATCCACGTGGATAACAACTATGGACATGAATTCAATTTCGACAATGTAGGAATGTTGGATGGAGATAGGAAACACACAGAATGTCAGAGAATTCCTAGAAGCGTGGCATCCATGTCAGTCAGTCAGTCAGCAATCAATAGATGTATGTACATAGACCGAATTTATCAACCAATAAGAAAAATGATGAACGACAGAAAGGTGAGAGGTGAAGCAGAGGAACAGCCAACAGGAAAATCTATTCAGTCATTCAATGACACAACATTTGAAGGAAACAATCGATCACAGACTACTTGGTCGTGGCAAGCTACTAACACACTCACGGAGGGATATTGACAGCTCACTTCATACTGAAGTTAGTGCTGATGATGTAGCTGTCTAGCAAGGCGATGAAAGCTTCACGATTAAACAACCCAGCTCCTCAGATAACACAATACAACCAAGAAAAGGGAAGACTATATAAAATCATATGCAAAAAATCATCTACATTTATCAAGGTAAAGAAAGGTTAATTACAGTCTGTTTCTAAGTAAACAGGTCAGGTTGAAAATGTTTGATGGTGACAGCTTCCACAAACCGTAACAAACATGGCGTCTGTTGTTTGTTGATTATGCTGAAAGATTGAGAAACGTCTATTTGATGTCCTGCTTCGATTAGGTGACTGGTAATTACACTGACAAAGATGTCACTTCCTTCCAGACACAGATTTCTCGGAATATCCTCATAAAATTGACTTGATGACCTTCTTTCTGTTCGCTCATAGTACTTGCTTCCATAGGCACATGTGAATCGATATTCACAGTAAGTAGGAGGTGGCATGAGATGGGCATTCGTCTACTTCCGACTGTGTTGTTCAACATACTAATATGAACTGGTGGCAGGGAAGCTCCTCCTCAGTGTAGGTTTTATTCTTCTGTCTATTCTTTCGATGTCTAATCATACTTGAATGCTGAGCAAATGAAAACAGTCTTCTTCTGAAACGTGGGATGTTCTGGTCCCTCAATAAGTTGTTTTGCATGCTTCATGATGAATTTCTTCGGATATCCACTCTCTATAAGAGCCTTCTCACCTATCTAGGCAGGCGGCACAGACGAGGACGTAAAAGCCAGTCAGAATTGGAAAGATAGAAAGACACGCGTTCATTAGCCTGAAACCAGTGTGGAGATCTACTGCAATACACTGCACTCAACATAAAGCCTCAACAACATACTGATTTTCAACACCAATTCAGTCAAGTTGGTGCTTCTATATGATTGAGAGACTTGGTGCATTACAAAAAGTATTTCCAACACACTACTGATATTCATCAACAACTGCCACCTACGCTTACTCCTTACTGAAGCTCACATGACGAGAATAATGACAATCAGCAACAAGGAACTCACTCCGCTCTGGAAACCAACCAACAACCTATCGCTCACCGAATATGCAATGGAAGAAGGTGTAGATGGATTGGATTGGATTGGATTGGGCATACAGTGAGAAGACCATTTGAGGATATCATGTGTCAGATCAGGCCGTCGAGTGGAACCTAGATGGGAAACGACGATTTGGGCATGGTAGGTGAGGGTGACATGGAGGAGATGATGTGAGGAAGACATGAGAGATTTTGGGCAGTGGTAGAGCCATGGTGAAAAGTTTTTTGAGAATTGAGTGGAATGGAGACGTGCTACTGAATCCCTGTGTTCCATTAGGAACCCAATGGTCATATAATAATGATAATAATAGCCTTCTCAATAATCTCGAATTCTTTTTGTTGTTTATCTTTGGAGCACAGTCTTTTTACTGTAGGGAATATGTGACAGGATAGAAACTATTGTAGTGAAGGTAGTGATCAATCCACGTGTCTTTTCTGTGGATAGTTTGGTCAACTGTGCCTGTCACATCTCCATCTTATACTTAGATCGAAAAAATTGTATGAGCTTGATTGAAGGTGTCGAACAACTTTGACACATGATTCATATTATCACAAACGATGAAATTATCACGAACATACCTGCAGTACTGTGTAGTTTACTTGATCGCAGAGTTCAAGCTTGTTCGCTTGAGATGAGCCATGAATATATCAGCTGGGTTAGGTCCTAGTGGTGAACCTATAGCCGCTTCATCAGTTTCCCAGTATAGTTGATTATTAAACTGGAATTGAACACCTTTTGTACAGAGGAGCAGTAATTGTTTGAGTTGTGGTAATAAATCAGTCTGTTGGCAGATTATGTCTATTATTTCATCCACTGGTATATTCTTGAACATTGAGGAAACATCCAATGATATCATAAATTTATCTGAGATATCTAATCTATCCAGTTCTTCAGAGAATCGGAATCTATCTTTCAAGCTACGATTTGTGAGCATTTTTCTGATGGGTTCCAATTTCTTTGCTAACCAATCAACCAATTTGTGACAAGGTGAATTTATCATGGACAAAATGGGTCTCAAAAGAACATTGGACATGCGGATTTTTGGAAGGTCGTACATAAAGGATAGTTGTCAACCTCTCGGTTTAAGTTCACTATAATTTGCTCCATCAATCCATTGCTTCTTCAAAAGTTCTTTGAGGTGTTTGTTTACTTTGTGTCTATCAACTGTTAATTTGTACAAATCCTTAAGAACCATTACTCAAATTTATCTAGGGAACTAAATGTACATCATGTATTATTCCTTTATATAACAGAGTGAAATAAATGTATTGATTGGTTACTGGAGTGCAACCAATTTCATATTGTCTAGTTCTGAGTACAGATCGAATTCTATCGATCATATTTGCAATGTGACAATCAAGTTAGGAAGCTCAGTGTTGCGGTGCACATTAGTAGATGTTAGTTGGTTAGAGGCAATCGGCAAGAAGCCACTGGACCTAGGTATTGTACATTTTGGTACTCATCAGCAAGGCATATCTACAACCTTGATGAAACTGATGTCCCACCTGAAATTTGAACTACTGTGTCACCCAGTTATTTAGTCAGAGACTTGTATTATCAGCGATATGTATTGATTGTTCATGAGAGTGGAATCAATTTCATATTGTCTAGTCTTGAGTAAAGCCTTCTGTCAATAATCAATTGACTACTAGATAAAATCACTTTAACATATAAATTTTGTTTAAATGTATCAGTTTGCTTTAAAAAAGATTGTTTATTTTCTATTTTGTACAGATTTAAATCGTTTATGTGATGAACAATTCAGAAGTCAGTATTGTGATTTACAAAGAAAACTTTTCAGTGAAATTTGTTCATCTCAATTGACAAATAATAATAATAGTAATAATAATAATAATAATATACTATGGGAGTATTTTTTAAATCGATTGGTAAATATTTCACAAGATCCTAATAATCCTCTCTTAGACAAATTATCTTCTACAATAACTTCAACATCGAATAATGTCAGTAGTTATGATAATCTGTTTGTCAATGATTTATCAAATTATCAACATTTCAATAAGATGAATATAGACTTCAAAAAATTTTTAAATTATAGCCATATAAAAGGTAATGAATCCATTTTAAATCTGACTAGTAACGATACTACTCATATGCATCTTGTCAATAGTAGTATATTGTCAGAATGTTTTGATACGCTTAAAAATGACTCATCTATCAACAACAACAACAACAACACTAATGATAGCAACGCAGTAAACACAAATAATTCATTTGATCAATCAGATGGTATGCATAATTCTTTGAAAAAGTTTCAGTTATCAAGTAATCAGTTCAATGGTTCAATGCTTGATGACTTCAACCATAGTAATAATAATAATAATAATGATACTGGTTGTAATAGTAATTTACCACAGCATATAATGCAATATTATGCTTTATGTGCATTTGTTCAAGCTGCTAGCCTACTTTCATCAACTTCATCCACTTCTTCATCATCATCATCATCAATGTAAAGTTGTTTAGTGTTTAAATCAAGCGGGTAATAAAGCAATGCATTAAAACAAACAAACAAACAAGCAAACATTTTGTGCTCTCATATCAATATATATACAGATGTAAACAAAATTTACTATCCCTGTGAAAATATACAATACTTGGATGAAAACAACAAAGTCACATTCCAAGAATATTTCAATAATTACCGATTGATTACCTCAGAGATATTTATCGTGATATATAATATATACATAAATCTTGTTGTGAGCTGTTACTATTAGCAATACTTTACTTTTCTTCTCCTTTTGTATATTATTATTACTATTATTATTATTATTATTATGATTTAATTGTTCATTTCACTTGTTTGTGTTTAAAAGGTATCTCATACTTTTATGAAATTATTTTACATGAATGTCCACAGGATTGACAACACAGGATAAACATATGAAATAGTACAAATCGACTAAGAATGTGTACATGGACTGGTGTATTTCAGTGTATCGATATACATTGCATGTATGTCGATACATTTGTGTGTGTGAGTGTTTCTAGGCTTGAACATGAAGAGATCTTTATCTTCAATGTATTCAATAGTGTATTTGTTTTACTCCACCTACCCACCATCTCTCATTCTCTCTTCATACCCTACCTCCATCTATTCTTTGATTTTCTTTGTTTATTTTTACCTGACTTTCTTCTCTTTTTTTCTACACATAAATATATATATATATATAAACATATAATTGAAAATATCATTGTTATCATTTCTTTTATTCTATGCTACTTTTTTTATTCTTGTTGGGAGTTAGCCAGTAGTACATCTATCGTCTACGTTTGATACATGTTGTCCTGAGGGAATGTAAGATAAACGGGGAAGTTGTTGACTGGTTGGAAGGTATATCAGGGTGATGAGTTCTAAATAGGACGAAGCGTGCAGTCTGGATCCCTCTGCTAACCAGTATACGTTATTACTAGCAAACTTAGATTACTATGGATATTCTAACAAGCATCAATTAATTCTGTAGGACTGAATTATGAGCAAGAATGGCTCACTAGACTGTTATTGATATAGTCTATAACTTCTAAGTGTTGATTATTGATCAGCAGTAGAGTTGAATTAGTTCTTTCTGTCAAGTAATAAGGTGTACTACGCGTGTTGTGTAACATAATACAGCGTGGTATCTCATTCGATGCTAGAAGATTGAAGATAGGCGTTAGGTACAAAGCAGAACATCAGACTGTTTATCACTTGTTACTCTGTGAAGTAGAAATCTACTCCAAAGTGGTATTCCAACCAGTGATTACTGAGTTTCCGACCTAGTGATCTACCAACTCAGCTATAAAGACCGATTACTGATTATATTTTTATTTCCCTTCAATCACCATGCGTTTTGTTCGACTATTGTCTAAATTCTTAGCATGATCATACCAACATCGGCTGGCCAGTCAAGATTTCTCATCCTATTCGAAATTTGCTTGAATTATAGAAAGGGAGTATCATAAATTTAATTATATGAGAGAAGTATCAGTGGAAGTCTGTTTTTCATTTCTCAATGGAAATCTAACAATGAAGTTCATTTTTACATCCGATTTGTCTATAGTTTTCATCTGCTCCGTCGCTAATATTTACGATGAAGAAGTTACGTGTGATATATTTTGGATATGTTTTGTGAATGCCGAACCGCTGCCTTTTTTGATGTGATACACTAGGTGAAGTTGGATTAAACTTGAAGCGGGTTCATTGTTGCCAGCCTAAGACGTGACATCAGTTGATGAAGTACCTGACTGTTGATTTGAATAGTGTATGGAGATATAAACTATCTGACTGAGGTCACTGAGACGAAGGGAATCAGTGACTAAGAATTATTGGTGATATGGATGAAAATCGGTGGTGGTTTTCATTCAGTCGTTAAACTTTTTTAAAGTTTGCACATTGTCTCATACAACTTTATCGACTTTGGAATCACTATTTTTCTACCCATTTCTTCTTTGTATTCTACTATGAAGCATGAAAATTGAAGTGATGCACTTGTATATGTGATGTTCTACGTTAATTTTTGTTTGTTTATCTGTCTAATCTTTGAGTATATGGTCAGACCTACAAGTGTAGTTGAAGTAGGCAAGTACTGTAATATTTATTTTGGTATACTCGGTCGATGAAAAAAACTCTCTTTGAGGATTAATTTTAGCCTCCAGGGAGGTAAACTTGCCAAAAAACACTCAGCAAGTTATGATAAGTTACTTCGTTCCACAAGCTGAACTTATAGTGGACAAGACTTCGGCATTTGAATCGATATGACCTGGCTTCAAGTCTCTATAGGAACAGCATCACTCACTGAAGTGTAGAGAAACCTAACTGACAAGTCTCAAATAAAACGAAACGCATGTTATGGATCCCATTGTATGAATATTGGATTAACACTAATACTAAAGCTGTCTGACTTATGAGGATTAAAAGCAGAATCTTAGGCATACTCCCTTCACCTATCTCTCTTATTGCTTATCCCATCTCATAATAGATGATATAAGTTTTATTATCATTTGTTAAAATATGTAAGAAAACCACAGTGAAATAATTTTTCAAGACTTCACAACCTAGACATTTAGTCAGTTTATACAAACAATTAAACTTCTTAGAGCTAGGAGTGTTTTGGAGATGCGATCAAATTTTTATCTTTCGTCTTGCGTTTTACTTCTTGATTCTATTATTCAATACGTCTTGCAGTACTGGTCATCTATATCGAAAGCATCAACTGAGGGAGTCATCAAGTCTTACACTCAACATATTACCAATTACTATTATCTATTATTTATCCCTTGGGTTCCTAGTCGAACATAGGGCTTCAGTAGCACGTCTCCGTTCCACTCACATCATCTCCTCCATGTCACCCTCACCTACCATGCCAAAATTCTCCTTTCCCATCTAGGTTCAACTCGACGGCCTGACCTGACACATGATATCCTCAAATGGTCTTCTCACTGTATGCCCAATCCAATCCAATCCATCTACACCTTCTTCCATTGCATATTTGTTGAGCGATAGGTTGTTGGTTGGTTGGTTGGTTGGTTGGTTGGTTTCCAGAGCGGAGTGAGTTCCTTGTTGCTGATTGTCATTATTCTCGTCATGTGAGCTTCAGTAAGGAGTAAGCGTAGGTGGCAGTTGTTGATGAATATCAGTAGTTTGTTGGAAATACTTTTTGTAATGCACCAAGTCTCTCAACCATATAGAATCACCGACTTGATTCTATGATAATGCGTAACGTCGTAATTTGGTTCGCACATGATTTCTACTTTCTGACTCCAGTCAGCCTGTTTCGGGTAGTAGTTTTGAATCCAGGGCATTGTTTATTCTCTCCAGGATAATGCGGTATAATATTTTGCTTGGGATGGACAGCAGAATGATTCCGCACCAGCTCTTGGAAACACTTAGGTAGCCAGCCTGTTGTAATCTCCTGTTGCTAACTGTTAGTTTATCTATCCACTAAACGATCTAGGTGTTGTAAAAGTGTTTTCCAATTTAATTCCATGCAATGAAACGTTCTAATATCTACGTATTAATCTAAAAGAATTTAAACCTTTAATTCTAACTATCATAAAAACAAAGTTGAAATTCAGATTTCTCATATTGATTAGCAGCGAATTGTCATAGAGTCAAATTAAGAGGATAAGTAGAAGTTTTTATCTAATCCGCATGATTTTAAGTAATCTCTTCGTGTGTGTGTGTTTTTTTTTTCGCTTTTTCATTTCCCTAATTACTCATATTTCAGTTGAATTCAATCATTTCATCAATTATACCAATTTTTTATGTTGATCTTCTATCTCATTAAAGATAATATAATCATCAATTGAATGAAGTGTTATTTGAGTAAGATTTATCCAGGGCGTAATCATTCTACATCACATAGATGAACTGTAATCAAATATCAGATGGATATTATTTTTAATTAATTAATTGGTCAAGTAATCAGTTACTTAATTGATGGATGAACTGATGAAATATTTAGATCAAATAATTGATTGATTTGATAGTTTATGAGAAGTGATTACATTCAGGCATAGCTTTAATCAGGGATGAATAGCTGAAACCTTGATGACATTCGACAATCGTTTAAATCTCCTCAGTAATGTACAGAATATAACTTTGTCAAGTTACCATTCAATTACTTTTTTACAATGTAATAATCCATATTTTTTCTATTTCTCTCAGTTTATGACTTAAAGTAAGTGTCATCCAGTTGCATAGACGGGAGTTTCTAGAAACTTGTCCGATGTTTCCATTGACATCAGTCAATAAAAATCGCTGACTTGTATACAGATGAACTTTGTGAAGTTTCAGTGACAAGTCGTGACCTATGAGGTTAACCAGGTTGACTGTAAGGACGAATACTCTCCGACGCTCATGGTCGATGTTAACAGTATGTTGTAGAAGTAGAAATTTGCAAACCATAAGTAATATTAGTTCACAGTGAGAAGCCCAGTGATGCTTTTGAGGTGAAGATAGGGGTAAGACAGGGCTGCTGTCTACTGTCACCCACGATATTCCTGATTGTAGTCTACTGGATCATGCAACAAACAGTGAGGAGCGAGAAGAGGGGGATATGCCGGCTGGACTGCTTAAGAAATCGTAGGAGATTTAGATTTCGCCGATGACATATCTAAAGTCGCACAAACTCGGAGATCTACAGGCGAAAACTAACAAGTTGACAGAAGAGGCGAGGCAGGCCAGAGAAAACGGGACTTCAAGTGAATGTAGAGAAGACGGAGGTGATGAAGATACACAACCAACACTACCAACAACAACAGGCTTTAATCACCATCAACGGGAGAAACTTAAACGAAGTAGCCTCTTTCACTTACCTACCTGTCTAGACAGCATTGTTTCACCTACAGGCGGTGGTGTCGGTGGCACAGTTAGGACGTCAAAGCCAGTCAGAATTGGAAAGATAGCAAGACAGGCGTTCATTAGCCTGAAACCAGTGTGGAGATCTACTGCAATACACTGCACTCAACATAAAGCCTCAACAACATACGGATTTTCAACACCAATTCAGTCAAGTCGGTGCTTCTATATGGTTGAGAGACTTGGTGCATTACAAAAAGTATTTCCAATAAACTACTGATATTCATCAACAACTGCCATCTACGCTTACTCCTTACTGAAGCTCACATGACGAGAATAATGACAATCAGCAACAAGGAACTCACTCCGCTCTGGAAACCAACCAACAACCTATCGCTCACCGAATATGCAATGGAAGAAGGTGTAGATGGATTGGATTGGATTGGATTGGGCATACAGTGAGAAGACCATTTGAGGATATCATGTGTCAGGTCAGGCCGTCGAGTTGAACCTAGATGGGAAAGGAGAATTTTGGCATGGTAGGTGAGGGTGACATGGAGGAGATGATGTGAGTGGAATGGAGACGTGCTACTGAAGCCCTATGTTCGACTAGGAACTCATAATAAAGTATTCAATTGTCAATGGGAGTAGGACAGATTTTACTCCTTTTTTTCATTTTGTCATTTCCGTTATTAAAATATTACCTATCATTTTTCAATTAATTACAAAGTAGATGATTTCTTTACACTGTTCATATGATTTTCATATAATGAATATTTAATGGAATTGTTTTAATGTTTATACCCCAATTTTTTTTCTCTTCAACTTATTTTCAAACAAATTTTTTAGTATTTCAAAGAATTTTTCTCCAAAAAAAAATAGCCATAAAGTTAAAAGATGTTGGGGTGGTGAAATATTTGGGGGTGAAAAGAA